CTGTCCCTTCCATGCACACGTTCCTCTCAATCTTCCAGCCTTCTTGTACGAAGACTCTGCCTCCTCGATGCATTTTGAAGAGGGAAACGTGTTTCTTTTTTTATCTCTTTGTCATTTAGAGTCTTATTTTTTCTTTCTTTCTCTCTTTTTCTTCTTTTGGTTCTTCTCCTATTCCTTGTTTTCTCACCATCTGCTGAGAGCCGCAGACACGAGTATCCCGCTGGCACATCAGACCTTTAAACGTCTGATTAATATTATTTTTCTCTTTGTTGAGACCCAGCATTTAGAGTCTACATGTTGAGCCAGGTTGTTATGTATGTTATGTGTTTTATTACTTTTACCGGTATGCCTTTATTTTATTAATTTGTACAGTTTGGTTTTTATGTTTTGTTTAAGGAAGAGACTTTCTCAGTTTGTTATGAGAGAGTCTATAGGTTCTCCTTATGCACCACCAGGTAGGGGGGCCTGTGCCAGCTACCGTCCCTCAGGTCTACGGGTATGTCCTCCCACGTAGCTCTCTTTTTACATAGGCCTACACACACTGGCAGTTAAAAAGACTAATTTGCCCGCTTTATCTTCGTCGATTTAACGTTCTAGCATCATTTCGTTTGCAAACATTACAACTTCTAACTCGCCAGATCATGTGGAGATGACCTTGCTTGCTCTCGAGTAGCAAGAGACATCCACAGAGTGAGAGCTGGGAGGACAGATCCCAAAGACGAAGAGGTGGTCACCGTAGCGTGGCGAAGCGGCCCTCCTTCACCAACCCGCAACATTGTATAGTCGCACCAATCTCAGATGCACCCGATTAGTTTAAGAGTTTCAAACTGCACCCTTTCTAAGTCACGGATCTCAGTTTCAAACGGTGAGGGTTTGCCACGGCGGGGCGCAAGGGGCGGGGCGCACGGCCGACCTCGAGCTCCTGTTACTGTACGTATTTATTTAAGCCGGCTGCCTCCTTGTGCGCCGGGAGAGGGAGACGCGCTCGAGCCATGCCCCTGGACCTCGCCCTCCGCGCTGTGGGTCCTCATGCATTATTTTATTATTATTAATATTATTAATGAGAATGTATTATTTTGTTATTGTTTGGATAAAGTGGGAGTGAAGGGTTTAATACGGTGGAGTCAAGGAGGATCGGTCTCCAGTGAGCTCCGCCCGAATGTACGAGACAGCCCGGGCTGGGCAGGCCTGGGCAAGGGCAAGGGCGCACCCCGGGGTAGCCCTGGCCCGTCACCACACACTCACGCTGCCTTGGTACTTAAACCGACCTTTATACGAGTTTACACTGGTTGTCACGAAAGTTCCTTAGACTGTAAGTTCACTGTAACTGTAATAAAAAGTATAAACAAAAAGACGAAGAAGCTGGACAGGTTGTGAGAAGTCACAACATCTAGCAGGTAGTGAGCCGCGGCTTTGCCAGGGTGTCACTCCGTCTGTGCCCAGTGTGTAAACTAAACGTAGGCATGAATGGCAAGAGAGAGTACGAAAATAAACGTGAGAAGAGACAGAGAAAAAGGGAGAGAGAATGCGCGAGAGAAAAAGAGCGAGTGATGCTAAACGGTACGACATCGTGGTGTGTGCCGCCGTGTGCATGATTGAGAGTCTATTTTGTGTACTTAGCTTGTGTAAGAGGCGTGTGTGGAACCCACACCAAGAATACGCGCCCTGCTCAACTACTGTAGTGACACGGCCTTGCCACGCTCGAACCCCGCCGGCCCTCTCCCGAGTACTCGGCGAGCGACCGTCCCACGAGCCGCCCTCCCGACCAGCGCCCATCCTGACGTCCCGAGAGCGAAGGCATTCGGGACAGAAAGCCTGAGCGAGATGCGTTGCGATTGGTCTTCCGTTCCGCTGCGAAAGACCCGCGCCCTCCATTCGATCGTCGGGCGGGGGTGGACCTCGCCCGCGTCGAAGGGGCGCTGGGGTTCGAATTCATCGAATTTGTTCCAGTTTGTTCATTCGAATTTGCTGCAAGAATTTGTTCCAATTTGTTCATTCGAATTTGTTCCAAGACGTCCTCTGCTCCGGCGGATTCCAGTACAAGTCACATTCCAGATCCAAAGAGTACTCTTTTTCTTTACTTTTGAATTGTTCCAGATTACTCCTACATTCCAGTACTATTGTAATGCTTTAGACAATTGACACTGCGACCGTTAGATTTCGTTGTACCTTTTCATTCGAAAACTGAATCAAGATGGATAAGCTCTTCATACCCATAGTTAACGATCCAGCTGTTAAACAATCCATTTCTAAAAAAAATA